TGTGTGTGTGTGTGTGTGTGTGTGTGTGTGTGTGTGTGTGTGTGTGTGTGTCTGTCTGTGTGTGTGTGCACACGTGAGCACGTGGGCGTATGTGCGTGCGTACTAGCTCCCATTGTGTAAAGGTGGGGTTTTTTTTCATTATGAACGTTTAAGACATAATTTCGTTTTACCTTCCAATATTTAATAGGATTCGAATATGATTCTGAAAATATTTTCTTTCTAGTGGTTTTTTAAATTAGTGATGTACACTCGCTTTTTTCCTTGTTCAATAATAATAATACAGCGTCAGCACACAAGGCAGTTTGTACACTTTAGGCTTTTGGCTTAATAAACAATCTTTTCCTTTTGACCCTTGTTAATAAATGTTTCCTCCATTACATAGTTTGAAAGCAATACTCTTTTTTCATTATGAAACATGAAAAACCAGGTTTCACATAAATGTTTTATTTGTTGTTGTAGTTTTTTTCGTGAGTGTGTTTATTTTTACTTAGAATGAGTACAAAAGCTATTTTGACCGAGTGATTCATGTTTCATTTCTTAGTGGAGCTTAGCATCAGGGTATGAAACAAATCTCACTCTTAGATGACGTTATTACCTCAAGTGGTGAAAATTAGGAAGTCACGGCTGAATTCAAAACGTCAAAACATACATGCTATTTGCTAAACTATGAATGAGGCTTTTTCGAAGAACACTTAGGGTACTATTGCAATACGTTTCTGCCGCGGATGATATCTCACTTGAAAGCTGCTAAACAGTGTGCTCCTGGCACAAGGTTTATTCAGTTTCTTCCTGAATTTGATGATGAGATAGTTTCTTTCATAACAAACGTTCTCTGATAGCTTGGTCGTAGAAGCGTTGCTCATTCTGATCTTCACTCTTGCCCAGACATCAAAGATACGAAAGTGGTCTGCGTCTCATAGCTTTTCAATTTTCGTAATATTATAAATAATGAGTGTATGGCTATCTTTGAGTTTTCGGTAGTTTCATTTTTTCTTTCTTCTTTGGTTTTTTTAGATAGATCTACCTGTATTATATATCTTCTGTTAGTTTCGTTCCATTAGACTTTTTTTCTCCTTAGTAAATCATAACCCTTACGTCATTACTTAAAGAGAAACTCTCTGGTAAGAACACGTCGGATCCTCGTGTTTACGTTCAGCCTGTAAACACTGTAGAGTCCGCCATGAGAGTAAAACGGGCGAAAACCCCTGCAGTGTTATTTCAGAAAGCAAACCGTAACGGTGGAAAGAAAACAGATAAGATTCCAACGAGGGCGGGGCAAGGCAACCCGAGGGTGACTCCGCTCTTGATCTCAAACTGTACAGCGGATGGGAAGATCGCCATTTCTATGATTGCTCCTATGCTGGGTTTGCACCGATGGGAATATCAATCTTTTAATGACAATCCACCATTACCCTCTACAATTTTCAAGGTTCCCTCCCTCTTGAATTTTGGAGGTTTAGCCAAATTAGGGAAAAGTATCGCTGGCCAACAACAACAAAAAAATTTAAAAAATATTTTAAATATTTAAAAAGCCCAGACGCCTAGTATCCTCATTGATTAATCATGACAACTAGTACAAGGAAAAGGGATTAAAAAACCTTTCTTCAGGTATACTGAAATTGAAATCTAAACCGTTTCGCTTCAACTTCAAGGATCCAGTAAAGAAAATACACGAATACACATGGATATTGTGTCAAACTAAGCAAAAAGCAAACGCAGGTGGTTAGCGACAGGTGCTCTGGTGTGGTTGCTTCTTCTTTCCTATCAAAGATTATTGTCCTCATCTCTCCTCCCTCTTTCCTTTGTATGCTACTCTCTTGTAGCAGCTCCAATCTTCGGCACTTATATGACCTTTTTGTTTTGCAAGTGCTGTAAAACTCTTAAAAGGAAATATGAACAGGTTGTTTCAAAAGTATTCGTAAACTAAACAATTCTGTAACATAATTTATACGGGTATAGCAAGTTTAAATGCCATGTAGTGTAGAGTACACGAACAGTTTGATTGAGTCAAAAATAGCAAAATGCATACGAAGATTCTTTCCTGGGCTGTGGGTCTGCTGAACACAAAACAAGTTAAACAGCCAGTATGGAATGGTATAGCGAGGTAACCTTTATTCAGAATTTTATATAATTTCAACTAGAGCCAAGCCAGGCAATTCAAATTCACTTCACTTGTTACCACCAGTAAAAGCAAAGTATAACTCTCCCTGTCTTTGATACGTCAACGATCACAGCCACCTGTTTCCTGTTCCAATATTATGACGTAGCACAAACGCCACATGGCCATCCATGATGATCCCGGATCTGCGCACTAGTAGTGCCACTAAGTCAACTAAATCAGAAGGAGGGGGGGGGGGTTCCAAATTCACATTTAATAAAGCCAAGCCGCTGGTCTATGCCTGAACGAGTAATGAAACGACTTGAGCACGTCCCGCATTATGAAGTCTGTAAAATGTTGAATTGGTCGATACTGTAGTTAAGGTTGGAAGTTCATCGACCTCCCAAACACAGTGTGGTTCGCTTCGAGGGTGGAGTGCTTGATCACCACGTCAGAACACCGGGCAGGGAGGAAATATCGCAGGTAAACACAAAAAAAGACATTTCGAACACCATTTCGAACCTCGAACTTCCAAATGGCAGACCAAAACATTTATATAACCCTCCACTCCACAGAAGTTTGCACCAGCTGTTGTGAAAGAAAATAAGAGGTTGACTGCCTCCGAATTTTCTTTAAAACACACACACACACACACACACACACACAC